TCTTCATCCTCGTTTCTCCTGCCTTATTCCACCCTAGCTCTCGCCGGCGCTTCGGTGTCTCCTCACGCTCTGTCTGCCAACTTCTCCCGAGGGGCACCCACCACCCCCTATTTATTTTTCCTCCAGTTTCTGCCTTCGCCTTCCTCCATATTGTTACTCCCTCATCCTGGTACGGACTGGGTTATCCTCTGCTGGTGGCGCCCCCCTCCTCGACTTTTCATGTTCGGCTTCTCGATTTCATGTCATCGCTGTATTTATTTTTGCATTGTCCTGTTCCAGCTTTCTTCTGCCTCCATCCTGCAGCGTGGCTTATGTGTGCTTCCTGTGCCATGTTTCATTTTCAGTGTTACCGCTTCCACCATTGTCCTCCAAACTGTTTGACAGAATTTGCCCTACTTTAGAACCACGTTGATCTATTGGCATTATTCAGTTTCTGTTTTTTCTTTTGCACGTGGTTTACTTCATTGCCAGTTTAAAAACGCTGCCATTCCTTTTTCTTTTCTTAGATACGTTTCTTTAATATTTTATTAGCCTTTCCTAGCTGTAGTTTATTTTATGTGATTTCTCCCTGTGATGCTTATTTTTATTCTGAAAGAACAAATGAGGGATTTATTTCTTACAAAGAGTTTCTAGTAGCCAGCAAGATGTTGGATATAGCAGTTGAACCACATGTTTGCATACTGGAGAGATGTAGAAGCACACCTGGCAGCATGCATTCAAGGAAAGTTGAATGTCTGCCAGGCAAATGAATAGACTCTAGTGACTCATGTGGTAAAGCTGCAGTGGGAATATTAATTGCAATACTGTAGTTCACTGTAAGTAAGATGTTTTTTCAGACTTTTGTTTTATTGATGGCAACTTCAGCTTCATGTACGACAATTATGTAGCTGTTGTTTGCAAATTCAACTAGGTGAAACGCCCATGTAAGAATACAGATAATGCTAGGGCTTTAATTGTTTATATTTATGAATGTAATATTGAGAATTCAACTGGAGGATGGTATTGTGTTTTTTACATTATGGTTTCTACCATACCTGGGGGTATATGAAACTGATGAAAAATTGTACCTTTGTAAACAGTTCAGAATCTAAGACACTGCATTTAAGGCAGTTGCAGCAAAAAGGGGAAGAGGTATAAGAGGGAAGGATGTTTGAGATCACATCTACAACGTGTATTAAAGCTTATATGAAAAAGCAGGAAAGTCTTCAGGAGGGTTTTGAATAAGATGAACCTTTACAAACGGGTTTGAAGATGGCTTTCTAGCCATAGTGGGGCATATTCATTGTATTGTGTTCTCATGTTATCTTTCTCTTCCTAGAATGCCTAAGTCAAAGGAACTTGTGTCTTCAAGCTCATCTGCCAGTGATTCAGATAGTGAAGTTGACAAAAAGGTGAACATTATATGCAGTTTATAACTACTGTATTAACTCATATTTTAGGCTGGGGTTAAGGAATTAGGTGAGCATTATGTCACAAAATGCATGTCATTCTATATGATTTATCACACGCTTAAAAAAACCAAACAAACTCAAAGCACCCCTACCAACTCCAAAACAACAACAAAACAAAACTCATCCCCCAAGATTAGGGTTTGGGTGGATTCTTTTTGCTTTGCAGTAAACTTTTTTTTTTTTTTTAAGTTGCATTCTGCTTTCTTCAGGATTTTTCTGTATGGTATATCTAGGCACAAGCTTCCTGGAATTCTTTGCTGCTTTGTGGCAAGTGATAGAAGGCTTCTGTATAAGCTACCCCCGGCGGCAAGAATTTTTCTTTTTTAAGTCATGTCTAAATGTGTACCGTATTGGATTCCTGCCTTCACAGAAGGAAGATGATAATTTGTATTGCATAGTAGTAGTTTGTAACCTCTAACATAAACTTTTTTTGTAACTTGGAAAATGAGTTGTGGTTCATGCTTTTTCTTTTTTTATTCTTGCTCCAAGGCAAAGCGGAAAAAGCAAGCAGCTCCAGAAAAGCCTGTAAAGAAACAAAAGACTGGTGAAAGTTCAAAAGGTGCAGCTTCTTCTAAGCAAAGCAGTAACAGAGACGAGAATATGTTTCAGGTAAAATTGATGACTCTCTTAGAGCCTGGTTAAGGTAACCATTTACATTATATTCAGTATAAATTTTATGAAGCAATTTGAATATCTTGATAGCATAGTGCTTGGTCTCCTGAAGCTTTGGCCAAAGGGGTTATGCTGCTAGCATGTAGATGAGACGCTCGGAAAAAGCATTGTCAGGTTTCAACAGAGTAAAAAAATTGTAGTTGTGGCCATTTATTCTAACCGTCATGTCTTTGCCCATGGTGACTCTCTGGGTAGTCATTTTATCTTTAAATACAGCACTTAACATAAGTATACTGTAAATATTAGATCAGGACAGTCTCTACATGGAAATGTTTTTTAATCAGGGGTCTTGAAGTAAAGTTTCTTGGAAACCAAAGTATGGACTCTTCATTCCTATTTAACTAGGTCAAAGGCATCTTGGCTTGTTTTATAAGACAGTGTCTCGGAATAAGTTTTGCTTGTTTCTTTATGATGCAGGTTTTTCTCACTGAACATCCAAAAAGATTGCAGTTTTTATATTGTCCTTATTTTTAAGGTGGGATGAATGTACATTTTTCAGTAGCAAGAAACATTTGTGAATTCAGGGTGTTACAGTTCTGGGGTTAGCTGAGGCAGTAGCAATGTGTGCTGAAAGCTGGAGGTACCTAATAAGATGATCCCAACACTGAGTAAGGCAAAATAAATGGTTTTGTGCTGTAGCATTGCAAAGTGATATGGCAAAAAAAAAAAAAAAATTCTAGAGAGAAGACCTACTTAAGTAATACTTTAATACAGGACAGTTATTTTTAACGTGTCAGTTCTCACTATCCTCTTCGTGTGTAGTTGAAGGGAGAGCTTCAATTTAAGACGCTGGACATCAATACATGGACTTCCCCATTGAAAGAAAAATATAATATTTTTTAGTTCTGTTGGAGCATCCTTTGATCCACATAGGAAAAATGAGATAGTATCTTCTACACCTACTACCTGAACTGCAGTTAGAATTAAAAAAAAAACCCAACCCCAAAACCCTCACAAAAAAACCCAAAAAATCCTACATACAGACTTTATGCTATGTTTGTAATAGGTTCAGAAATTTCAGCCTTGGGGGAAAATGGTAAGTGGAAAATGGCCTTTCTTGGTAATTCTGGGAAGTCTATTTGCCAATACTCTCCAAGTGCCTGTCCCTCAGCAGTTTTTCCAAATTGAATCTTATTCTGTGTTTTTGGATTGTTCCTACAACATATTTCACATCTTTCTGTGACTGATCTAATGGTTTCTACCATGTTCCTGCTAATAACTGACTTTTGTAAATGCTTTAACAAGTTTTCTGTTCCCCAATGCACAGCGTTGTGTTCTTCCTTCACTAGACTATTCATAATGGAATAGGGTACCACTACTAGACCTGAAGGTGTAACTACCTATCTGTTTTCTCGTTTCTCTGCTTTTCAAGTCTCAATTAATTTTAAATCTTGTTTATCATAAATGGGGTTTTTCTGGAGAGAAATTCTTTTCTCTGGCACTATAGCTAGTAATTCCCTCTCTATGCCTTTTTCTGCAGCCAGCTTTGCAGCTAGATCAGCCAATTTATTTCCTTTTTCTTGAGTGGTTCGCCCCGATTGGTGAGCTTTACAATGCATAATAGCTACAGCAGCAGGAGCTTTTATATTTTCTAGCAAACTCAAAATTTCTTCTCTATGTTTTATCTCTGTCCCTTGTGCAGACAGTAGTCCCCTTTCTTTCCAAATAGCTCCGTGTGCGTGCACCACTCCGAAGGCATATTTTGAATCAGTCCAAATGTTTACACGTTTGTCTTTGCTTAACTGTAAAGCTCGGGTGAGAGCAATCAGTTCAGCCTTTTGGGACGATGTTTTGGTGGATAATGCTTGTGCCTCTATCACTGTCTCGACAGTGGTAACTGCGTATCCTGATACTCGTTTTCCTTCTTTCATAAAGCTACTGCTGTCCATGTACAGTTCCCAATCCAGATTCTGCAAGGGAACGTCCTTCAAGTCGGGCCTGCTTGAATATACTTCCTTAATAGTCTGCAGGCAGTCATGTTTGGGTTTGCCGCCTTCTTGTTGAGCTGAGAGGAACATGGCAGGGTTAACCACGGCAGTAGTCTTTAGGGTCACATCATCTGGTTCTATTAGTACTACTTGATATTTTAATATTCTACTAGGAGACAACCAATGTCCACCCTTCTGGTCCAATACTGTAGTTACCATGTGTGGAACATAAACAGTTATTTTCTGTCCCATGGTAAGCTTCCGAGCTTCTTGTATTAACAATACTGTTGCAGCCACTGCTCTTAAACATCCAGGCCATCCCTGACTTACCAGATCCAGTTGCTTGGAAAAATATGCCACTGCTCGTTTATATTCCCCCAAGTGTTGGGTTAAGACACTGAGGGCTACAGCCTGCCTTTCATAGGTGAATAGTTCAAAAGGCTTTTCCAAGTTAGGCAGCTCTAAAGCAGGGACTTTCATCAAGGCCCTTTTAAGTTGAATGTGTGCATTCTGACTTTCATCTGTCCATTGTAGGGGGCCTTTCGATGATTTTAATAATTCATACAAAGGTTTCACCATCAGTCCATAATTAGAAATCCACAGGCGACACCATCCCACCATTCCTAAAAAGGTTCTCAGTTCATGGATGTTTTAGGGTTCTGGAAGCTGGCAAATAGCTTCTTTTCTCTCATTACTTAACTGTCTCTGTCCTTTTAGGATTTCAAAACCCAAATATGTTACAGTTTCTTGTGCAATTTGAGCTTTCTCCTTAGACACTCGATAACCACTGAGTCCAAGGAAATTTAATAAACTCAATCAATCCCAAGCATTCCTTCCGGGAGTTTCCAGCTAACAGTATATCGTCAACATACTGTAGCATCATCCCATTTTTGTTGTCTTGTCTCCATAGTTCTAATACTTTTGCTAGTTGATTTCCGAAGATCATTAGACTATTTTTAAATCCTTGCGGTAGTACTGTCCAAGTATATTGAGTCTTCTTTCCTGTCTCAGGGTTTTCCCACTCAAAGGCAAATAATTCCTGATTTTCAGAATCAAGTGGGATGGAGAAAAAGGCATCTTTTAAATCTAAAACTGTAAACCACCCCTGTTCTTCGGTGAGAGCAGTCAGGAGTGTATATGGATTTGCTACTCCAGGGTGAATATCCTGTACAATTTGATTCACTGATCTCAGATCTTGTACTAACCTATAAGATTTCCCATCAGCTTTTTTAATGGGTAGAATTGGAGTATTATACTTAGATTCACATTCTTTCCACAACCCATATTTTAAAAACTTCTGTATAATAGACACTAGCCCAATTTTGGCTTCTAGTTTTAAGGGATATTGTTTCAATCTTACCGGTACTGATCCTGGTTTAAGGTCTATCCTTACAGGTTCAGCTCTTTTTGATTTTCCTGATATTTCTCCTTCCCAAGCAATGGGAATCACTGCATCTTCAACCTCGGGTGAGATTTTCCTTTCTGTCTGCTCAATTTCCTGCAATAACAATATTGAAGCTTGGACAAATTTAGATTCAGACTTTGGTACTTCTACTTCTCCAATTTTAAACTTTATTTCAGCTTCTAATTTTTCTAATAAGTCTCGACCTATTAAAGGTTTTGGTGCACCTGGCAAATACAAAAACTGATGCGTTACCCACTGTTTTCCAATTTTAAATCTCAAAGGTTTAAAGAAGGGCCACGTCTCCAACTTTCCTGTCACACCAATGATTCGTACAGTGTCATATCCTAGTTGATGTTTCCTTGTATTTAAAACTGAATAGGTTGCCCCCGTGTCAACTAAACATTCTATCTCTGTTTCATCTTCCCCCAGCTTAATTTTAACCAGAGGCTCTGCTGGGGGAGATTCCTCCCGTCCTCTTCAGTCCCTAGCCTCTATGGCTAGCATGGGAGTTTCTGGTCTCTGCAAGGATGGGCATTCTCGTTTCCAATGCCCCTCCTTCTTGCAATAAGCACACTGAGTTTCTCCTACTAGGGATTTTGGGAATCCTCTGCCACGTCCTCTTCCTCAATAACCTCTAAAACCGCCTCTAGTTCCCCCACGGGGACCACAGGCCCCTTCCAACACAGCAATCAACCTAGTGTTCCCTTTTACTTTCTGCTGATCCCCATTCCTATTGGTCACCCAATCTATATCCAACAATTTTCCCAAGTCTCTGGTATCGGCTCCCTGTAGCTTTTGCAACTTTCTCCAAATATCATCAGCGGACTGCCCGGTAAACAAACTTGCTAACTGGCTTTTCCCTTCTTCTGACTTGGAATCAAGGGTTGTATGTTTCCGGGCAGCCTCCTTTAATTTATTTACAAAATCAGTTGCAGATTCCTTTCTATCTTGCTTGATTTCTGTGTGAGCCGACTTGGTCAGGACGCAGGAAAAACCACAAGACCACGGATGAAAGACAAAGAACAAATTTAATCTCAATACCTCACGAATCGGGGAGTCTCCGCAGCAACACCCGGGCAGACGGACACAAGCAAGGGATGCATGCACTGCAGGGCAGGAGAAAGTCCTTGTTAGCAGGAGCGTGTGAGCTCTGACTTGCTGTTCTCGCCTGCTTTTCAAGGGTTTGAGCAGGTGTAGTTTTCCACTGTGCTTTGATCTTCTTCAACAACAAGGCAGTGATCTCATGTATGCTAGATAAGGTGTCCCTGAATCAGGCTGAGTTTCAGCCTTGGGGAAAATGGTTAAAATTGTTAATGCTTCTGATGTTGAGAGAGAGAGAGGGAAAAAAAAAAAAAAAAGGTTTGGGTTGAATTTGGTTTTTTGACTTGTGAGAAGTAAGTTCTTCAGTTTCCCAGTGTAATGTCTTTACCTATTGTAGGCTCCTGAAAATAGATAAATATATGCTTGTGATGCTCTGGAATGTGATTGATTGTGAAATGCATTGTTGACCACCTAAGTTTCATAATTTATTTTTTTTTCTTTTTTTTTTCTGTTTCTACTTCCACAGCATGTATACAGCTTAATCAAGGCAAACTGGAAATAGGAGGAAAAATGGTAAAGAAGGTGGTTGCTCGTACAGGAAGTCAGTTGCATAGCTGTGAAAGAAACCTAGACACAGTTAAATGGAAACCTGGGAATTAATGTTTTTAATATCTTCTGATTTATTTAACTCAATAGAATAGTATAACTAAGGAGCTGTGATATTTAATAAAAAGCATATGAACTTGTCTATGAAGGTTGAACCTGCAGTAACTACCCTGCTATAAATCAATACAGCCCTTGGAACACTAATGCAGTTACAGAGATACAAAGGTGTATTAGATCAGTGAAATTATTCTAGGACTATCAGCTGCTGTGTAAACAAAGAATTGTTCAGAAATGACTCAATGCCAGAATTGCAGCTAACAACTTCAAGGAACATCAATTTACTTAAATAAAATAAATCTAGATTTTGGTTGAGGTTTTTAAACTGTACTTCAGAAGCCTATTTAAAGCTTTGCAGTGGCAACTGTTTTGCATAGAGTTCAACTAAACACTTGAAATTTAATGTGATCATTCAGCTGAAATCTAGACAGTGGTGTAAAACCAAACTTAATTGTCAGCATTTTCATATGGAACTGTTTACATTTAAGGTAGACTTACTGACTGCATAAATGATGTGTATTTTGTTTTATTGCCTTATTGTAGTTGAATTAAAACATGTAGTCTTATCTTTAATAGTCAAATCCTAAGCCCTTTTACTGTATTTGCAGCTATAATATGCCATATTGTATCAGATTTTATTTCCTAGAGAAAATCTGGAATTACTTGGCAATGCACTAAGTCTTTGATAGACCTTGGGGGGGGGGGGGGAAGGAGATGTTATGGAGTACTACTACTTGAAGCTGATTTTAGAGGTGATCTTAAAAGTCACTGAAGCATTATAGGGTAAAACAAAAATGTTGTTCACGTAGGCTATTTAGCAGTGCTGACAGACTTGGGCATGGTACCAAGTTCAGTCTGAAAGAACTTGGCTACTGTGACATCATACCTTATTTTTGAATGTTAAATTTGTAGTACCCTGAAAGTATTTAAAATGAACAAGTTTATAAGATAGTATTTTGTGATTAATAAATTAAAGAATGCTTTGAAATAGGAAAACAACTGCTCTAGGCTTATGGTATCTAAAGACGTCTCAATTGTTTTAAAATAAATTTTAGAGTTAATTTAGCATGATCTGCATAAGAAGAAAAATTACTTTAAGCAAACATAAAGCATAATTGTTTATATATATTTTGTGAAATAACAGCTTTTATGACTTAAACATCTGTGGATGTTTTTAGTTGATTGGAGAGTTGTTCATGCTTTCTGGTCAGACTTAATGCTAGCAAGATATGTTTGGCCCCCCATTAAATTATGTTAAAGTGCAAGATGCATAAATTAAGGAAGTTGAAAACTAAAACTAATGTTTTATCAGAAAGGAATATTCTATTTTTAAAATTGCTTACTTTATAATGTGTTCTTTCTTCATAAGGTGTATCCAGAAGGTGCATATGGAATACTAAGATTTTTTTTTTGTTTGTTTTTTTATTATCTAATTTCTGATTCTCAAAATTCACATTATACTTTGAATTTATGTGACTGAATAGTTTTTTTTATAAATTTTTTCCAAATTTGATAAGGCCTAAATATGTAGTGTAGTGTATAGTTGTCAGTGTGCCTGTTGTCTCTCCCCCCCCCTTTTTTTTTTTTTTATTATTTTATTTTTCCCTTGTCCTAAGAAAAAAGAAGCCCTCGTAATTCAGTCAAGACACTGTGGTGTGACATTACGAAATTCCAAAGTCATTTCATACTGTGCTACATGCTGGTAAACTTAAAAGATTTGGATGTTTGTGGTTTTTGTGTTTTGTTTTGTGTTGTTTTTTTTTTTTAACATCTGGTACAGTGTGGTAGTCTTTTTACCACAGTTCCAATGAAGTGCCATGAGGACTTGGGAGCAGACATGGGACAGTTGGTGGCTTACTTTTCTTTCCATCTGTATTTACTGAAAAAGGGGGGGGGGGGGACGACACCAACCTCGAGAAATTGTCCTTATTGTGTGAATATCTAATTTTATTTCTGTGTGTATGGAATGGACTAAAATTTAGATTTGGGAGTAGAGCTCTCTCTTTCCTGTTTGTTTACAACTGCTGCTAACAAAGATGGTTATAATAGAGGCAAAATTTTATTTCAGAAAACAGTAAATTAGTGGGTTTTTTAAGGTAAACTTGTTAAGATTATAGGTACTTTTATCGTAGAATAGTTTGGATTGGAAGGGACCTTTAAAGGTCATCTAGTCCAACCCCCCTGCAATGAGCAGGGACATCTTTTATTGTAGGAGAGTCACTTTTGCATTGAGCATTGAATGCTCAACTGGTTTTAAGTCATTCATCCGTTTATATTGCCATTACTTATTTACCTACTGACTACTGTGGATTAAGCTCTTGATCTAGTTGTTTTTCTGGTGTCTAAAATAAGCTGTTGTATGCAATATCACGTGTTCAAAGTCTGATACTGCTGGGAAAATTGAGTGATGTAATATGTAAAACATCTAAAAGATATCCTTATATGTGTTTTGACAGATTGGCAAAATGAGGTATGTCAGCGTTCGTGACTTTAAAGGAAAAGTCTTAATTGATATTAGAGAGTATTGGATGGATCAAGAAGGTGAGATGAAGCCTGGCAGAAAAGGTATTGTTCTACTTCATGTTATTTTGTATTAAAACATTGTCTGTAGTTTGCTTGAGAACTTTGTATATCAGATTTTTATACTTTGTTACTACGTGGTATTTTTAGAGTAATGTTTTCACTTTTTTATATAACTTATATTTTAACAAATGATTAGTTTTATCTGTAGATTATAAACAAAAGCAAGGTGGTTTTGTTGGCCTGAGTCTGTTTTCCTAAATGGATTCCCCGTGATTTATGGAAAACAAGTCATTAAATTATAAGCAAATTTGGTATGGGATTTATACAGATAGCCATGCATTTTCCCATTGATAATTTTAATCAACTCAATTTCTTGCTTTTATTACAATTGGATTTCTTATTTCAAAAGTCATTGAAAAGATTCAAGTTATTAATTTGTAATAAGATGTTAATTTCTTTAAAACCATGGTGATCTTCAGTTTCTATCAAATATTAGCTTAAAATAATTTCGATATTTAATGTGACTAATTTTGTAAAAAGTATTTCAAGATTTTAGTTCAGGTGAAAATACCTCAAGTGTTCAAGTTTTGGTACTGTGCTTCTAATTTGCAGCACATCATAAGCCATTGTACCTTTAATTGCTAGTCCCATACCTACTTTTTATGGCATGCCTTCACTGAACCATTTTCAGAACTTTGCCACCTGCAAGATGAGGCTGTGAGGATAGTTGCAGTAGTAGTGCTTTCCTTAATGGAACGTTGCTTCTGTTAGAAAAGCTTATTTTTTTTAATCACTTTGCATATTGCACCCAGGAAAAGAGGTAAGTGATGAAACATCCTGTCCTGGAGATTGAAGACGTTTAATGTAGAATCAGCATAAGGTTTTTTACATTTTCCTAATGAGTCCAGGAGCAAATAGATGTTTGTAAAGCTTGAGAAACACTTTCAACATCTCTTAAATAACCACTGAGAATAGGTTCGTATGAACAGGTGTACCAGTACTGTAAAGGAAAATTTCTTGGTTTGGATCTGTTGCTGCTACTTAATAAAAAAGATTACTCCAACTTCTAAGGACTTTAAACTGCTGTGTTTTGAGGCGGAAATCAAAAGTATATGCAGTTTGAGAGGTAAACTACAAAGAAACTTGATGGGTATGCCACGTGACAAAAATTACATGATATAGACAGTAATGTTTATCAGTGTGGCAAAAGGATCTGAATTTTATTAGGATAAAATTAATAATAATCTGATACAGTATCTGTCTAATGTTCCATTGATGCACTTATGAGCCCCTTATCTAGCTATCCTAAAACCACTATGAACAGTTGAAATTGTGTAATAAAATATATATAGGAAAAAACCAAACCCAACCATTTAGAATTGCTGTGTCAGATTGTTTCCAACAGCAGGTCTGAACTGCATGCAGTTTATCTGATATGTTGTTTAGGGGCATCTTGATGACATTTGGTCCCCTAATAATGGTTAGTACACCTGGCCTAAGTTTTTCAAAAGAAACCTGCCCTCTAAAGGCTGGTGGAAAACTGCTTAGAATAGCTCTGTGCAGACTGCTTGCTGCTCTGAATAAGACAGTGACGGTACAAGAAAACAAAAAGGTCATGAGCCCCAAAAATGGAATTCAAAATTTCACCTGTTTTCAGGTCCTGCTCCACCTACAGGGAGAAAGCAATGAAGGAAGCCTGATCACTGAGGGGGGAGAGTGGGGGTAAATAGTAGAAGAGCCTTGTTGGAGAGAGTATGAGTGGTAGGCCTGTGAGTCTGTACTTGCATAGAGTTGGCATAGAGATTTTAGGGGAAGAATGAGGAGACTAAAGCACAAAGGAAACATGTGCTTGGACTTGAACTTGAGGAAGTACAAATTTAGAACTGAGGAGATGGGTTGTGGGGCACCGAATAATAACTATTGTCACTAGAAGCTATAGTGAAAAAATAACTTCCATGTTGGTTTCTGAGTGATAGGGAGTGGAATAGAGTCTTTCCTAAATGTTACTTATACTATGTGTTATTCACAGTGCTTTAAGAAACAGGAGGGGGAAAAAAAAAAACCCCAGACCCAGAATTATGGTACTCTAAAAGTGCATAGAAGTTCAGTCCACAGAGGTATAGCTTTTAGGAGCCAACAGGAATACGATTGATTTCCTATGTTTCTTTTGTGCTGCCTTCTATCAAGGCCAGAGCTGTATTTCACTTCCTGTGTTTAGCCTAACGCTTGTGAATGAATTTGTTATACTGCACTTGTTTTCTTCGTAAGTTTAACTTGTCCAGAGATAAGCTGAAGTCTAAAGTTAAACTGAATTGTTTCAAGTGAATAGTTTAACTTTGTAATTGAGATGATTGTTACGTTTGAGGTAGCTTAAGCATTAATAGTCATGACACAAACTTTGTGTATGAAACCAGCTTTGACGGTAATTTTGCAAGATCCTGCACTGCAGCTTTCTTTTTGTCCTAAGTATTTATTCTTAATGCATTTCAGGTATTTCTTTAAATCCAGAACAGTGGAATCAGCTGAAGGAACAGATTTCTGATATTGATGATGCAGTAAGAAAACTGTAAATACAGAGCTATACAGAAACCTTTATCATTTTTGTTGTTTTAAGTGGTCTTTTTACATTGGCTTTTGTTTTCTAAAATATTATTTTTCCAAGCTGTTGTATACTTGGATTGTAAAACAATTTGTAAGATGAATACTTTTTTTATGTGCATTAAAAGTGTATTCTGAGTGAGGCTATTTGTGTATATTTTACTAAAAGGCAATGTGTTGCTTTCACCTCATGGTATAAAATAAACGAATCAAATAATATGTAAAGCATAGGTGTTTATGGCCTTTTGATTAACGGTGTTTGCTGATAAGGCCACCTAATAGCTTTCATCTTTGTTTTAATTTCAGTTTAGTTAACTGTTAATATGTATTTGTTTTCTGAGGAGATTTCTTAAAATGTCTCCACTTAATTATTTTTTTCTTTTATTTCATACTCTTTGGTATTGCCCTGACAGCTCTCTGCTTTAAGACTTGATACAAACAGTGAATACCTGGTAAAACTCACTTTTGTAGATAATTTTAAATACTGTATTTGCTAATTTACTGTATTTATTCAGATGTAAACAGTCTGGAGTATATAGACTTTTTTGCATTACTTGCATGAAGTGCTATGCTAAACAATAACGCTTGAACACAAGCCACACTATTTCTTTTCATTTTTCTATAGCTTGCTTGACTTAGAAAATACAATTAGCCTTTATTCTTGGACCCTAGATTTTAGAATGTGATGCATAAACTTTTACGGTAATAGACATATACCTCAGAGTAAGATAGTATTTCAAAGCTCCAAATGTGGTTATTAGTTAGGTACCCTCTTCAAACTTTGCATTAAATTCATTCTTGAACACATACAGAGTAGTTAGTCTATAGAAAAGAATAGTTAACCTGTCTTTGTAGGGCTTTTGTTCGTTTGAGAGTATTGTGTAAACAACAATGCTTAAACAGGGCTGTAACACAGGTTAAACAGTCAAATGGGGTTAAAATTGCTTCAGCAAAAACATCTGGCTATCATGCTTCTGCCTTGTCCACACTGCCTGCTCAAACCATTTAACTTGGCTTGCCTTGTGTGGCTTACACGCGCACGACTCTTGTACACAAGATACTTCGTGCTTACAGTGCAGTGCTGGTACATAGTGGATCATGACTAGCGAACTTCACTTGTCTACCAGTGTACTATTCTGGTAAGAGAAGCTTCTATCCAGTGGAAGCTCTATTAGACTAGATGCTGCCCCAGTTGAAGGGCTTCTTGGTAGGTGTCACAAACTATGGAATGAAGAAGGGAGAATATGATGTTTGAGTAGAACTTGGAGAGATAAGGGGCATGCCAGTACAGAAGTTAATGGTGAAAGATCAAAGTTAGCTGACACATAGTAACTACAGTGAAGAAATATATGTTGGAGAAGAGTTTATTTTCTGACTTAATTCAGTTAATCGAAGGAAGATGATAAAACAACTTCATGAAAATTGATATTTCAAGACTATGTAGTGAATTTACGATTTATTGGTTCGGCTGTAATTTTCCCATTTGATGTTAAATTTAATGTATTTTTAAAATTTTCTATACATAAACAGGATTTACTATTTGTTTAATTTTGGAATATCTTAATATAGTTGTTTATATTGCAGACATGCATGGAAGTCCTGTTCTGTTAAGTGCAATACACAAACTTTTCCTGTGCTGCGGAGTTTATAATTCAATATAAATGGGTATTAAAGGGTGACTTCATCAAATTAAATATATACTGTTTAGTTTAAATATTATGTCAGATACCGCCACCTGCTTGTTAGCTTATCCATCGTTAACATATTTCAAATAATTTAAGATCTTTTTCTGTATAGTTCAGGAAATCTGAGTTCTTAAGAACTGCTTGAGGGTGAATAAAAGGGTGAAGAGATGTTTTGTGGTAGCAGCTGAATTTTTGGGCGCAACGTTCTTTTTTGGGTGACTCTTAATAGCATGTAGGGGTATTTGGACCAAATAGAATAAACATAAAATATCTGCTAAAATTGTCACAGACGAGTGAATGAAATTAATTGCTTCCGATCACTATCAACAGATTCTAGGTGTATTTTTTTTATTTGCAGTATGTACATAGAAATTTTTTTTCTTCCTTTAAATCTGACATTTTGCAACCGGATTTCATCCATTTTACCTCAAAATTTTCATGTGGCCCCTTTAAAGTGCATAGCTATCATAATAGAGGGAACATTGTCCTCACAATATAATTGTGTTCAGGAAGGTGGAGAATTAAATTTATTTTGGGGGGAGTAAGTGAAAAAGCGTTAATATAGTGATTAGTTCTCTTGTCGAAACTGATGGTAGAGATGTTAAAAGAAATTAGTACTTGTTAACTAAGAACTGTTAATTCCTCTTATATCTTATATCCTCTTATATCTTTGCTGAATTTGCGGTGATAATTACTGGAACTGTTTGTCCCATTTTACTTGAGAAAACTTGGGGCAGTTTGATTTTTATAATTTTTTTTTTTTTTTTACTTAGCTTGTGTGTTTCAAGATAGTTTTCCATCTGCCAGTTATATTTCTGCCTGTAATAATGATAAAATATATATTTTACCTGAGCCAGCCTTAATGTCTGCATAACTGTCCTACAAAAAAGGTAACTAATAAACTAGTCAGTTTCACAAATGAACTCAAAATGGGACCTATTTAATTGTGAAGGAATTCATTGTACCCCTCAGATGAATGATGTGTTGGTTACTTGTTGAAAATTTGACACATTCAATGTTATTTAGAAATAAATAGTTGGTAGTGATTGTCATGTAGTTGTCTATGGCTGTAGTCTTTCTAATTTGAGAAGAAAATTCAGATTTTTTTTTTTAATAAAGATTATTTTCTTGCAGACAAAATGGTAGTTAGGGTACATGTAGAAGTGTCCATGGAAGAAAATTGTGGATATATGAAAAGACTGTGTAATATGAGATAAAAACACTGCCACTTCAATGGGAAAGGAAGCAAAAGAAAGATGCATTTGATTCTTGATATTTATGCTGGGCATATTAGCAATATGTTTTATAAATTAAACCTACTATGGAGCTTAGCAGGAAAAATACATCAATTAGAGCTGCCAAAGTACCATATGTGTGCTAAATCAAATTGTCATCTACAATGTTGCTCATATGTAGAGATATTCATATTGAAGTTAAACAAATGCAGTACTAAGTTTGATACTTCTGTTAAAGGAAATGTCCCAGTTATATACTTATGTGATCTGTTAGCAAAGAAATTGGTGATTATAATTCTGGTAACTCAAATGTTGTATTGTTAACCATGTGGAATGTTTCATTTATTGTTCTGGTGGTATCTACTGCAGAGAGGCCACTGGAAATATGTGCCCTCCAACTGTAACTATCTTAACGTTGAAATAAAAAGTAGTTAAATAGTATATGTATAATAACAATTTGAACACTTGGAAATAAAGGAAGATTCCTGTTGACATAGTGTTATTTTTAACGGAAATTTAGCTGCACTAAAACTTATTTTTTCTTAAATAGCCATTTTCATAACCACTTGTTTCATGCAACTGTTGTAATTTGGAAATTTGAAAACTTGATCATCTTGTACTTGATCCATGTTTGCGGGTGAGTGGTTGCTTGTGTTAGAGGGATAGAAGTTTTTCATTATGATAGAAGAAAAAGTGTCATGTGAATATGGAAGCAGCAGATATAAACACCCTTTCAAACGCCAAACAGAAGGAAAGCACCTGATAAGTTGCTATTGTTAAGAAAATGGATGATTATCTCTTGAGTGGAGTTTCTTTTTGATCTGACAATAAATGTAACCATAGATTAGATTAAAAAAGTTTCTCACCCATTTATTTATCATTGGTCATAGTTGATTAGTGTAGGCTTCTTTAGGAAGGATGTTTGGTTTTCACATGCTTGCTGTGACTGAGCCATAGGGAGTGGATTAACTGATTGTAGCCTTGACCCAAACAGATTTTTTTTCAAGTAATTTTGATTAGTTTAGCAATTTATAGCCACAGAATCAGAAATGATCTTGGCTCAGAGGGAAGAAATGCAGTTTGGGGTTGATAGAGGGTCATCGCATCCTACCTGTTTACTGTCATCCACTTAGTCATCTTTGACTGTAGCTCTGATGACTACATATGGAAGAGCAATCTGATAGGCAATGCTTTTACTGTTGTGAATCAAGCTTGCTGTCCCCTGCTCTCAACTTAATATTGTTATTGTAAAAATGTGAAGAACTGAAATAAATGTTCCTTGGCTCAGTGATGGTTTATCAAGGAAGCTTAAACTGCTGTCTTGTGAGCAGAAGGATGTGTCATTATTCAGGGGGATAACTTAAAGGCTGAGAACTTGGTGACACAGCTGTTCCCTTGGTATGGTGCTTCATTGAACAAAAATCTTACAATTTCTTGTAAGATCTGCTTAATTTGGTTTTCAGTGTACTTTCTGTTTTGAATGAATCCATATGCTTGTCTCTGATGGGATGGCAAGTGAGGTTGGGTTGAAGAGTCAAGTTTTTAAAAACAAAGCAGAAGAAAATATGTGAAAAATTGCAATGACAAGGTTTCTGCTGGTAGCTTGTGATACAGAGAAATGAAGTCCCAGGCCAACGTGCTCTGGCAGCTGAGAAGATGGTAGTGCTGGCATTGTCTGGCTGGCAGACAGGCAGGCAGAGGGGGTGAGTTGGTGGGGGAATCAGGTACAGAAAACCCTTGCAGGAGGCTGTACGATGCAAACAAATCTAAATTTTCAAGCAAACACTCCAGTCTGTCTCCTGTGTAGTATAGCTGTAGGTCTTACACACAGTTTTCTCTTTCTCTTTAACCTGGCGAGCCCTACAAATGCAAATAGGGAGGGTTGTTTTCATCTGCTCTGGAAAATACGCAGGTCCCAAGGTGTTTGACTTCATCAGCTCAGTGGCAATGAAGAGCACAGAAAATGTTGCCGTACCCGTTCCTGTGAATTTGCAGGACCCGTGAGCTCTGCACAGCCTTCCTCTGTGGAGTTCAGGCTCCGCAGTGCGCTCC